CTTGGATACTTACTTGACTCTATGGATTATAATCCAGTAATATCATTATTTGTTTTGTTCATCAGATTGTCTCACCTTTGGCCATTGGGAGCTCTGTGACCTTGGCTTTTATGCCCTACTAACATGCCCATGTCTTTTTGAACATTTTATTTATTTATTTATTTATTGTCACCAGAAGATGTTCAGAAATATCTTGTATTTTCCCTGCTATAGTCCTGAAATCAGCCACTTCTCCAAGGATCCTTGATCCTTTTTTCTTGGAGACTGATGCTAACTGTGCTTTTTGCCACTTCACTGTCATTGCTTTTAGGAAATACATAATAACTGATGTATACGCACATATCTAAAGGTTTTTCTGTATCTAGCTACCTGATTTATATTTAAAACTATGAGTTCATTTGTATATTTTTATAATTTTCCTTCAGTGGGATATTGGAATAAGATGAGGAACTAACACATATGCATTGTTATCTGTTTTTTACCAGAAAACCCAGTTATTCAGATAAAATTTTAAATGAATGCTTTTGAGTGTTTGTTGTAAGATTTGCTTAAGAAAAGTCTGTTTAAAAGAGATCTATGGTGCCTTAGTTTCATCAGCTTAAAAGAGAACTGAGCATGAAAGAGTTTAATACTAATAATAGGAAAATAAATAAGATTCAGTTCAAAATTTATCACATCTTTAAGCCAAACGGTATTTGCAACATAGTAGACACTCAGTGAGCATGGTGTCACACAACTCTTAAAATCATGCATCACTAACTTATTCAACAGACAACTACCACTCCAACACAACTCTAAACATATATATTTTAAAATGGAAGGTGTTTAAGTGATGTTGTTGTTCAGTCGCTGAGTTTTGTCTAGCTCTTTGTAACCCCAGGGACTGTAGCATGCCAGGCTTCCCTGTCCTTCGCTGTCTCCCAGAGTTTGCTCAAACTCATGTCTATTAAGTTAGTGAGGCCATCCAGCCATCTCATCCTCTGTTGTCACCTTCCCCTCCTGCCTTCAATCTTTCCCAGCATCAGGTTCTTTTCTAATGAATCAGCTCTTTGCATCAGGTGGTCAAAGTATTGAAGCTTCAGCTTCAGCATCAGTCCTTCCAATGAATATTCAGGACTGATTTCCTTTAGGATGGACTGGTTTGATCTCCTTGCTGTCCAAGGGACTCTCAAGAGTCTTCTCCAGCACCACAGTTTGAAGGCATCAATTATTCGGTACTCAGCCTTTTTTATTGTCCAGCTCTCACATCCATACATGACTACTGGAAAAACTATAGCTTTGACTATATGGACCTTTGTAGGCAAAGTAATGTCTCTGCTTCTTAATATGCTGTCTAGGCTTGTCCTTGCTTCTCTTCCAAGGAGCAAGTGTCTTTAATTTCATGGCTGCGATTATAGTCTACAGTGATTTTGGAGCCCAAGAAAATAAAGTTTCACACTGTTTCCATTGTTTCCCTGTCTGTTTGCCATGAAGTGATGGGACTGGATGCCATGATCTTCATGTTTTGAATGTTGAGTTTTAGGCCAGCTTTTTCGCTCTCCTCTTTGACCTTTATCAAGAGGCTCTTTAATTCCTCTTCGCTTTCTGCCATAAGGGTGGTATCATCTGCATATCTGAGTTTATTGATATTTTTCCCAGCAATCTTGATTCCAACCTGTGATTCATCCACTCCAGCATTTCGCATGATGTTAAATAAGTGTGTAAGTTAAATAAGCAAGGTAACAATATACAGTCTTGATGTACTTCTTTCCTCATTTTGAACCTCTTTTTTCCAAATTTTCTGTTTTTTCATATTTTTGGAGTGAATTCAAATATACAGGATTAATCCTGTGAAATAGAACTTTTTGAAAGCCTGTGTGAATTTGCAGGCCAAATTTTTACTCTTTTCTTCTAAGGTTAGAATAATTTTTTTTTTTTTGGCAAAAATGAACATTTATAAAAATGTTCAATGGAATGGTTTGTATCTCATTCTCTTTTTTAATTTATACCTTCATTTTGATGGGGGCACTCACTACCTTCTTTTGATAGTATTTGTGGGAGATATTTTCTTTTTGTTTTGATATTTTGAATGTCTGAAATTATTATCTGTTCTGTTTTGCATCTTGGATGTATATGAGGTTATATATTTTTTAATTTTTTCTGTAGATTTTTCCTTCATGTGTTGATTTCCTAAATGGGTCCTTCAAGTTTCTTGCCATTTTTTCACATCTCTGTTTTGTGCTGTACTGTCTGAGAGAATTTGTCAAATTTATCTTCTAAACAGTCTATTACACATTTTTTTTGCTATTTTTTTAAAAATAGCACCTCTTTTCATTATGTACCATCTTATGTCTTTGAGAGTAATCCAAATTTCTATAATTATACTCTCTTCCCTGCATTGTCTCTCATTTTCTGAGTTCCCTTTCTTCTGTTCATTGGTTGGCATGTTACTTTTGTTGTCTTTCATGCTAGAGACTTTCTTCACACAGTCCATCATATCTGAGAAAGGGGCACCAAAAAGATAGATGAGAACTCTGTGTGACTGAGAGGGGCTTTTGACTGGTGAGTGTAAAATTACTGAGGGAAGATAGGTGGGGGGAAATCTGTCTGTTGGTCTGAGTGACTCACAGATGTCAGGCTCTCTGGGTGTTTTCTCTTTGGCCAGTTTGTTTCTTAGGGAAGACAGAGAAAAGACATCTTGCTTTTTGTGGCCCCCTTTTTATAGATTTGCACTTATCTTTGAGTTTCCCCCTCCATAGATCAACTCTTAAGTTTCCCATATTATTTTGGTAGCCCTTGTCTCCTATCCTATCATTTTCTTTCAAGAATATGTACATATATATTTTATATCCAGATATTGAGAGAAGCCTTTACGAAGAAGGTAGTAAGTGAGCTGTGCCTTGAAGGATATTTATCCTCCAGTCAGTCTTACAAGTATAGATTGATTGGGGAGATAGAAGTGGAAGCAACATTCCAAAGAGAAGGAAAGGAGGTGGAAAACTCTAATGCATGGGTATTGTAATGCATGTGATTGAGTGGACAGCATTGCTTCATATTTTCCTAAGAGTAGTGTTTGTTAATTCTTCAAGAGATGGGAATACCAGACCACCTGACCTGCCTCTTGAGAAATCTGTATGCCGGTCAGGAAGCAACAGTTACAGCTGGATATGGAACAACAGACTGGTTTCAAATAGGGAAAGGAATATGTCGAGGCTGTATATTGTCACCCTGCTTATTTAACTTATATGCAGAGTACATCAGGAGAAANGAAAAGACCCTGATGCTGGGAAAGATTGAAGGTGGGAGGGGAAGGGGAGAACAGAGGATGAGATGGTTGTATGGCATCACCAATGTGATGGACATGAGTTAGAGTGGGCTCCAGCAGTTGGTGATGGACAAGGAGGCCTGGCGTGCTACAGTCCATGGTGTTGCAAAGAGTAGGTCACAACTGAGCAACTGAACTAAACTGAGTGTTTCTTATCTAAGGTAGTACATAGGATTAATCAAACTAAATAGTTGGAGTACCTTGAGAAAACACTCTTGATTCTTTGAGACAGTTTATTGCCACATCTAATATTCCAACATCATATATCACATTGTTATTTCATGCATATGAAAAGTAGTTAATTCCTAGCATGTGACACTTTTATGAAGATTATTGGTATTATTAGGAAGGAAAAAAACTGAATATCTCTCCTAATAATGTAGATATATTAGAGATTCTTAATTTTATTGAAGAATAAAATAATAAACTTGTGCATGATAGACAAAGTTAGATATTCACTTAGTTCCACTGATGGGCAGTTCAGTTATGAGGCTTTCCAGATGTCAGCAAGACTACTATGGAAGTCACTTGTACATTTATGATATTGAAGATTTGAACTTTTATACTTTTATGACAATTGTAGAGTTATGAAAGACATTTAATTCCTTTTTATTTCTATGTAGGTATGTTTCAAATAAGTGTTTTTTTTTTAACTTGAACAACTTCTTGTCTACATGCAAAAAGATTAAAGTATAAACCTAATACGTAGTTATTGTAAAAAAAAGATCTGGAAATTTGCACATTTAAAAAAGATGAATGTAATTGTGTCACTGTTCAAGGATAGCTATTTTAATATTTGGTTTAGTTATTTCTCCCAAACATACAAAATAGAACTTACTGCTTTTTAAATTCCTTATAGGGTGAACTAGTCCCATTTCATTTCATTAAATAGTCTTTGAAAATTTGGATTTAAATGATGGCACACTTGTTGTGAAGCCTGCATTAAAAACCTATTGGGTTTTATAAAGCCCAGTAGCATCCACTAGTCGCTGGCTCTCAAATCCAGCTTGAGGAGGAAGGGGTGAGGGAGGCTGGGAAGGTGAGGAGGTGAGTGCTCAGGTGTCCAAGTGAGGCCAGCAGGGGTGGCAGTCAGAGATGAGGCAGCCGCATTCCTTGTGTCTCTGACCTTGGACTCACTTAACATTATAGTCTGGATCCTATTAAAGGAATTTTGTGTTTTTCCTTTGCGAGAGTCACCCCCTACCATGACAGATATTTAAAAATGTTTCTTAAAAAAAGTTGGAAAAGCAACTTTTTCCCCAAAGAAATTTATAGTTCAAATTTACACCAAGTTCTTACTAACTGGAGCAAGCCAGGTTTTCACTAAAGCTTTGCCTTTCCTCTGTAAAACATTAGTCACTCCCTTGGAAGAAGCAGTTTTTTTAAAGGCAGTGGGATAAAACAGCCACAGATGTTCATGTAATATGACGGGCTTTAGAATGTACCTGCAAGCATTTTTTTTTTTTAATTCGGAGAGAAAGATGAAAGAAAAAAGACTGAATTGGGACGCTAAAATAACAGTGATTGATTCAGTATTAAGGAAATGATAAGTTTTTGATCCACTCAAATAGTGTTTTTTTCCCCCTTTTCTTTATTCTTAGCAAGTTCTTGAGATTGTGCCAAATCATTTTCACTGCACAATTTTTGAAGGTATTTGCCATTCCCATGTGTAACCGGTTGCCTTTTTACTGTGCAGAACTGTAGTGAAGCCTGTGGCCACAGAGTTTGATCCAGACATGGTCCTGGTTTCTGCTGGATTTGATGCATTAGAAGGCCACGCCCCTCCTCTGGGGGGGTACAAAGTGACAGCAAAATGTAAGTAATATGCAGGATTTTTTTTTTCAGCATGTGAAGAGTTAACTTAGGTGAGACATTCAAATGATTTTAGATGATGTTTACTGCTCTGTCAGATTCACCCCTCTGTAGAAATTGGCCTTAAAGAAAACAGTTAAATCATTCCCTTTGGTGGACTTGAAGGAACATTTCAGAACCTTTAGTTTTTCAGGAATCGTGTTTTGCTATTTAAAGGCAGAAGTGATAGGGTTTCTGTTTAAAATATGTTAAATGACTTGAGAGGTCTAGAAAAAATACTGGGCTTTTGCAAGTAGATTGGAAGTCACTTGTTTATTTCATTGCACTTTGGGTAGAAATAGCTATTTCCCAGTGTTTCCTCTCCTAGGTTTGAATACAAAAGTGAGGCTCTGTACTAGCCTAGGGGTAGCACTCAGGGTCTCTACTGATCTTCTCTTGTATTGCAAAGATTAACTTTTTGGATGTGTCCCCTAGCAACTAGACACCACATGAACAAATGAATTTTGTGTCATATTGCATTTGAATAACATGACCTAGTGAAATCTGGCTAGAAAGAGTCTTTTAGAAGGATTTCTGTGCTCTTTCCAAGTATGAAAATAGGGCATATGTATAGTCCACACATGCAAATGTATGCTGGCACTATGTTAAAAAAAAAAAAAAAGATGAAGGAATAATGTAAAATAAGTAAAATTACACCAAGAATAGTACTCACTATTGTGTATTTTAGTGGGAGTTGAAAAGAAATCGAAAACAACCCAAGTAATTTTAAGTGAGAGAGATGAGTTTGGAATAAACGTGCTTTATTAATTTGTAAAGAACCAAAGAGCCAGTATTATGCCAGCCTTTGTTTTAAGTTGGCGTCTCATATGATGGAGTTTTCTGCACTTTAATTCTTCCAGTAACATTGTTAGGTAGTAGCTATTTTTAACATCTGTTATTTACTCAGTATTCTTGGTGCTTTGTTGTCTATTGAAAATATATTAGAAGAGGCAACTCTGCAAACACAAGTGAAGCATAATTCACAATTGTGGTAACACTGAACAAGGGAGGTGTTTGGTCACATCAGATATCTTTATTATCCTTTTTCTTTGTGAAGTTCCACTCACAAGGAGGTTAGTCTTTTCATTGCAGATAAGCCTCATTTGGGTCAAGACTGGTGAATAGTTTAATCTAAATAAAGGGGGAAAATGCTTGTACCCTAGATTGAGATAAACCCAAACAATAGAAAACACGTGGAGCGAAGACAGAAATCTAGAAAAGGTATCCTTTGCCATTAAATCCAAGAGTCTCCCTCAGAACTAGGAATGTCTGTTCTTGGGTCTTTCTCCCTGCCAACAGGAAAAGTTGTAACAAGTTCGAACTAGCTGGAAGGAACTAATCTTTTTGTTCGCTTGTTTATTTGTTCATTTTTTGCCAAGTCACATTCAAACTCAAATCTCATATGTCATCTTGAAGTTTCTACCAGTTGTTAGCTTTAGTGCACCAGGACCTTCATTTTATCATGTTTCTTTGTCACTTGGTGGGGAAGCTCTTTGTTGTTCTCTATCCCAGAAGTTGATCTGTAATTTCTCCAGTCCCTTCACTCCCACCCCTGGTTATCTATTTCTTCTCTTCTTTACCTTTTCTATTCAACAGACCATTACTTCATTACTAGGTGACTTGTTTCCTAAGAAATACAGACAGACACTAATTTTAAATGTTTTAATAATTCACCCTTTGTTGAGTATTCAGTTTAACAAGGAAAAGATATAGAGTTAGGGAAGGAAATCTCAGAACCCAAAGAGGCTTTCTAGAACAGCTTACATATTTTGTAGATGAGAAAACAAACTTATTTTACCATCTGAAATAATTGGGGTTAAAACACAAGTACTTACCCTGAATTTGTAGTTAGATGAAATTATATAAGCTTTTACCGAACATTGTTGAAAAAGAAAAATGTTTCATAAAATGCGTAGAGAATAGAGAACTTGAGTGCACACTGCTGAGGGCATTTTGGTGCCCAAACCCTTAACTTCACAGTCAATTAGCAACTGATAATGACAGTCCCATGCTACCTAAATGAAAAATAGCAGAACATCATAAGCAACTGTCTGTATAGTTCACCTCATGCAGGCCTGAGTTTGCCAGCTATATTTTCTAGAGAAGCTGCCATACTGACTGTGTACAGGCTAGAATGACTGGACCACTGTATAGTTATTCCCCAAGTGGTTCACATGTAGTTATTTTTTCTTTCTAACCACCCAGCAGATGCATTTATGTTGCCTTGGTTTATACAACAATTAATATTGGTCCTTCAACTGTCCTATACTGTAAGACATTCTCTGTTTGAGGAGAGCCCCAAAATGAGGCTAGAAATGGACTAAAACCTAAAATAAAAAAGTAGAATTTAAAGAAGCAAGTTTCCTTCCTGATGTTTTCCCATTCCTGCAAAACTCACCCTTGCCCATTGTAGAATGTTTAAGGATCTTAAGGGTGTAGTTTGGAGGATACTGGCTTGTCAGAGATGCTAAATTTTATTGTCTTAGCACATTGAATAAATCCTCTAAAACTTTTGTTTGTTAACTCTTATATGAAAAAGATAAGTCAAAATAACAAGTTCTTTTGTTTGTTCTAAAAATGTAATTAAAGTTGATTCTTGGCTAGTACTGTTATTCTTCCTTCCTGTTTTCTCCTCTCGTCTCTTTACATATTAAGTGTTCTTTGTTGTGAGACTATAGTACAGATATTCAGATTTATTTGTGCTAAAGTCTTAAATGAATTATCTGAATTAGTTATTTGAAATCTGTGCTATTTTTTCAGTTAACCACCAGAATTAAGGTCCAAGCTGAACGGAATAATTTTTGTATCCTGCCCTAAAGGTTACATCAAATTTTACCTTACAGTTATCAGTTTATCTTTTTAAATACTCATTTGGATCTTTTTGTCTTCAGTTTACAGTCTAAGAAGGTTAGTATGCCAACTGAACGCCTTGTTAAATTGAATGAAATCATTGGTTCACCGTATGGCAGCACCCCCTGGCTCTCTAACAGTGCGTGTGTGCCTGCTAAGCGGCTTCAATCCTGTCGGACTGGAACCGCACGGACTGTAGCCCGCCAGGCTCCTCTGTCCAGGGGATTCTCTAGGCAAGAACACTGGAGTGGGTTGCCTTGCTCTTCTCCAGGGGAGTCTTCCCAACCCAGGGATCAAACCCACATCTCTTTATGTCTCCTGAGTTATTTACCACTCGTGGCACCTGGGAAACCCAGCTTAACAGTGTTGTCACCATTTAAAAAAAAAAAAAAAAAAGGTTCTTTAGTTCAGATTCACTTTACAACAAAACAGATTTTTCTTTGTTTTCAATGCGTCTGTGTATTATCTGTTTTCCATGGCTTAAGGTAGTCAACTCATAGGAACAATTTGCTTTTATCATGTAGTAAGAACTTTCCCTTTGGAATAATGCAAAAAGCATTGCGAGTTGATAGCCATATGTGATTTTTTTTTAAAGTTTCTTTTAAAAAAAAAATTTTTTTTTAAAGTTTCTTTTATAAACATAAATAGTTTTATAGTCCTTGAGATAGAAACCATTCCCTTGGAAAATACACATGTGTTTTTTCGGACAACTAAAGAATAGGTAATAGTAACATATCTTAAAATTGTGAATTACCATCTTCTCCTTGATAGACTGTTTCATCCTTTCTAGTATCCTCTCACTCCTTTTTTAGTTTTTTCTTGTATGAGGGTCTTTCATGGTGGTTCACTGTTGTGGGGCAGATGCCTGTCTAAATGAATTGGTACTAACAATGGTCACTTATTCAATATTTCCTTTAACAGAATTATTATAAAAAATGATGTAATATTAAATGGAGAAAGAATGGTTTTCTTAATATTGCACCTTGGGCAGGATCACTTGAACATTAATACCTACTAGAATCTAAATGGTAAAACTCATTTCATCTCTTCTCAGAAAAATAGGACAGTGGGAGCATGAACCCTTTAAATAATAAACCTGAAATAAGTGTGAAAAACTGTGGGAGAGTGCAGGAGAGTTGTTGAGGGGTCAGAGGACCTGTGTTTAAATCTCAGCTTGGTTCCTCACTAATTCTGTAAGCAAGTTAGTTTCTTAATCAGCAAAAAAAGTGGAAGAATCGGGAGATAAGTAATAATTATGCCTATACTATAAGGAATAAATTATTAAAGCTTATGAGATAATGGTTTTGAATTTTATTGCTCAAATCATTTCAACAATTCTAAACATTCAACAAAAGTCTGAGATTTTAGATGATGTATTTGAACACAAAATACATAACATAAGAATTTTATACTATTATTTGAACAAAATGGTCAGAATGGTCGGAGGTCCTCAACAGCTATGCAGGATTCTAGATGAATAAAAAACGTATGTCCCTTCAATGAAAAGTCAAGTTAGGAAGAGAAGTGCCTCCATCACACATTTCCATGTCCATATGCATTCTCACATGGGAATAAGTTGGAAGCAATTGGAATGAATTACAGTGTTTCTTTTTTTAATGAGGCATCATTATTTTGTGATGAAGATTCCTCAGGTCCTGACTTCCTAGAAATTGTGTAGTTTGTCTTGGTATATTGAGGTGTGCTTGGATTATGACATTGTTAGTATGCTGATGTGGAATAAACTATCCAGTGGAGCCTTTTTAGCTACTAAACTATCTGAAAAACAGTTAAAAATCAGACAATAAACAGAAGAACTTCTGAAAATCAAAAATAAATGCAGAAGTTCCACTTATAAATGCTTTGTTAGACTGCTTTGTTACCCTTAGTGAAATTCTGTTTCATTCTTTGCATATATAACCAGCATCTCATCCTTTGCCAAACTCTTCTTTTGCCTTCAGTCTTTTCCAGCATCGGGTTCTAGGATAAGATGATTAGATAGCATCACTGAGTCAATGGACATGAATTTGAGCAAACTGTGGGAGATAGTGAAGGATAAGGAAGCCTGGCATGCTGCAGTCATAGGGTCACAAAGAGTCGTACATGACTTAGCGACA